TTAAAACCAATAAAATAGTGTTCGTATAAAATATAGCCTTGATTTAATACCAAGGTATAAGATAGTTAATAGTTATAGTGTATTTTGTAAGATTGTTGAGCAAGAATTAAGCTTACATCTATAATATATAGTGTATAAAAATGTTATATAGGTACTATAGAATGATCAATGAATAACGTCGAGCCAGTTGATAAGTTTTAGTACAATATACCAGAACAAAAAAAGAAAGAAAGAATTACGGTGTTTATGGAAAAAAATAAGCTTTCGACTAGGTTGATATATTATGTAGTTTTGAATTCTTGTTGAGTAATTATTTTTAAATTTATGTTGCTACCGCCCAAACTTTTATGACAATTGCATACTTGCTGTTTTTCAGTCACATAATGTTGGGATTAATATATACTACCTAGGTACTTATAAACGTCGATATATGAGCTTACTTTAACTAATTATTTTAAAAGTAGTTACATATTATCTGCATTCTATAAAGATTTTTCAACAGTAAAGAATTGAAAATTATTATGCTTCAACAATATTTGAAGTTAAATTTAAAGCAATATTAAAAAAGTAATATTGATTATATTTTATTGCATTACATTTTGATTGAAGTAAAGATTTATTGGTTTTATAATGATGTTATTTTTCGGGATCCTTTGTTATTGTGTGTTTTTAAAAAATTATATTCAACTGGAATGAGAATTACATTTTAATAAATGTATCTTATGGTACACAGTACATTTTATTTTTATCGAAATTATATTTATTTATGGCCAAGTCGATGGATAGCGTATTTGACACAATATAATAAATTTGACATAGTTTTAAATTATAGTGATTTGTAATTAGATTAGTTATAAATATAATATAATATATTAGTCATTAATCATAATAATAGTATGACTAGTATTAGTATTTGGATTTGGATTTGGATTTGTATTTTTTTTTTTTTTTTTTTTTTTTTTTTTAAAAATATTTTGGTATCATAGCACAATATTTGTTTCATGTTTGACTTAATAACGTCAACTTTTATTTTAAAATTTTTTTTTTTGATAATATTTTGGAATTTTTAGAACATTTCTTCTATTTTGACTATATCTTATAACTATTCTATAAACAGTTATGGATGCAATTTTAAACAAAAGTATCAAATACTAATTTTAATCTAGAATCTAGATTGTGAGTATATTTTGTTCATATTCGTTATAATATATTATTTATGTACTTAGTTTATTATAAATGTTTAATTTTATTGAAACATGTTCAGGCTGCGATGTACATAAAATGTCCAGAGTTTGTTTCAGTGTCGTCCATTAAGATTTGAGACTGAGCCAGACAAAACAGAGACGGATGTGAATCAAAAAACAAAAATCGTATTTATCGCTTGCGGGAGGACAAAAGAATAGTTGGCCAATAGCAATAAAGCGCGTGACATATTATACATTCTTGTCGACACGAACATTATGTTTGGAATAAAAAAAAAATGAAAAAATACATTTTTCTAAAAGAATCCTGCACATAATAAATTACATTATAATATTATAAAAGTTTTAAAACGAGCAACCAATACTCACTTGATCGAAATGCACTATGTATATGTTAAGATTGGTGTTCTATTTAAAATATATTAACTTAACAAATTAAAATCGTTTGATGGGGTATTATTATTACTATTTTTCTATATTATGTACACAATTTATTTTATCAATTTTATTTCTCAAGATAAAATATATTTTATACATAAACATTTATAATATTTACTGATAAATAATTCTAAGTCACCATACTATATATTGTACCCTTGGAATTTCCTGAAACCATATTATAATAAGAGATCCTATTATGTTTAGTATTATGTATTTGTATAAACCAATTTCCTATAGAGCATAGGATATTAAATAAGTACTTAGATAGAACAAGAACTATTTCGTTTTGAGCAAAATAGGATTGCTCATAGTTAATGACCGTATCACGAATGAGTATGAATTAAAGTAGAAGACCTTTTATAATACGATATCAAAAGAGATAATATAATATAATGTTTTTGACAAGGGAACAGAGATAAATGTAAAAATAAAAAATAATCAAATACAGAAATATAACGTTTAGTTACAAAATCCGAGAGGAATAAAATTTGTTTGAATAAAATACGTATTCAGACTTCAAAAGACTGTCGAGTCGTTAACATAAAATTCGAACATTCCGTTTTTAACAGTAATTTTACTCCTCGTTCAGCTTTCAAAATGAAATCTCATAATTTTATCATTTTTGTAATATTTCTGTATTTATCATCGAGTTTTCTTAAAATATAATAATATGCCTATTAAATACAATAATATAGGAAAGACAATAATTTTTTAGTGAGCAGAGTCACGGCCGTGTGTATATTATTCCGATACAATATCGAATTAAAATAACATCAGAAAATCAATAGGTATAACATTTTATTTGGATAACATATTATATTATTCGCAACCACAATACTATCTTTATAATACTTCTTTAATATGATGCTTTTACCAACATATGGCGATAGGCGTACCAATTTTATCATTCACTATATTATATGGTACTTACATAATATAAATTCATTTAAAAACCATCGAGTGAGCTGCAGTATAATAATAATATGTAGGTATGCCTATTGCGTGTTGGTATTGTTATTCATTGTAAAGGGTCTCTAGTCTCCACTCTCCATACTATATTCCATACATATTTTAAAAATAATAGGTATATTATGTGTAACACTTAAAGTATCACAAAACACCAGAAAATATTATGTTATTAAAGGTATTCAAAGTTGCTGTGCTTTAGAATTGTTTTATGAAAGACGCAAATAACGATAAATATGTGAAAGTATTAAAAAAAAAAACACAACAAAACACAACACAACAGATTCGATTTACGCAATAATTTAGTATCGTACTGAACCCGACAAAAAAGAAAAATCTTAAACCAAAATAAGTATATTTTATTTAAAGAATAACAATTTAAAATATGAAAGTAATAAAGTAGAAATTATAATACAAAGGATAATCCATTTATATTACGTATAAACAAATGCGTACTTACCTATATTTAAAATTTTATTTTATATATATGATTCGAAGTCGTTACAAGAGACATAATTAAATTATGAAAACATTTTGAAAACATAAAACATGTATTCTGCTGCCTACTTTTTTAATCATCATTAAGTTTTTCACTTTTATAAAATATTATAAAAAATAGTAGAAGTATAATAGTTATTTTTTGATGAAAATTTCGTTTTTTTATCACTTAAAATAATGTAAAAATTTTTTCTTTAAAAGTAGATAGTTTTAGAAATAATGAGAGTTTTACTACTACCTAATAGGTATAGGCAGTGGCGCCGAATGAAATTAAAAGTGGCAGTTAAAATAGTTAAATAAATTGATCCTTCCAATATTTTTTTAATTTATTTACCTATTTATATTTAAATAAATTAATGACATTTCTGTGTTTAATATAACTATAGCAGAAAGACTTGGCTATATACTCTATAATTTTACTCAAACCCAATTTTCAAGGTAGCTTAAAATATGAACGACCTGTACTATACGTGTTTGTTGTCACTGCAGGGTATACGTATATATTTTATATTTTTAACAACTCTTTTTTTTCACTTGATAATAATAATAATAATAATAATCATAATACATAGATAGGTAATAACGCACAATTTGCACATTTCTTTACTGAAAACTTTCATTTTTTATTGCATATCACGCGCGATAATATTATACAAGTGACATATTTAGTCAGTTGTACTCAGATAACGAATACCGTGTTGTAGGTAGTAGGTATATAGTATATATTTTCGTGTGTATTTAGACTCTGTATAAAATAATATTATATGACCATCACGACGGTATACAATATTATGCATAAAATTGTGTGTGTGAGTGCACGTCCAGCATCGTGGACCTCTGGGGGACTGAGGCTTATGATGATATTATTTGACAATTTTGACGTGTGTCTTACCGAGCGATGCAGTTGACACAGAATAATAATTATATGACTATACACCGGAACACGATAAGGATTACGTCGATACGTCCGAATAGTTTAATATTTGATCGCTCATATTATTATTATCACTGCCGTTTGACCTTACAATAATTATTAATTAATAATAATATCTGTTGGGCATGATTACGCGGTCGAACATTAGGTTAGATAGGTACCTACTAGTAGGCGTAATAATAATATCGATATTTTCACGTTATATCATATTATAGTTTTCCGAATATTCTTTATCTCGGATTTGCCGTTCACTAAACATGATCGGACGAGAGCTTCGTTATAAAAATAATAGATAGAAAAAAATAAAAATATCTAATCTATTTTATGCGTCAAAGCTTTTATTCTTTTTCCATGATACATTTTTAAAGTCTTAACTCGATCGAATCCAATAATATATTATTCTTAACTTTTTTTATCCACTCGATTCCCTAGTAATAATTTCATCATCTAACCTAACTTAACCTAACCCAAATTAAATTACTCACGAAATCGGACAATTCTAATTTATTTGGTGTTTTCATTTATTTAATCTTCCAGTTTCGAGTTGAATACCGTTTTTAAAGCATTAAACCGAACTGTTCGGAAAAACCAAAACTTGATTACGTTTAAAGATCTATTGTATTTTAAAAACTTGTAAGAGGCTTTATAATTCTTACAATCTATGTTATTCGCAGTTAGCATATTATTACAGCAATAACACATTTGTATTTACAATGGAAATATAAATACGATTTATAGATACTGTTCTGTAATTTATCATGTCCCTTAAAAGTAAAAATTTGTAATTCGTTTGACTAGCTATAACAATAATAATATTATATTTTAATAACTGCTGTGGGCTCATCGCCCCCTGCAATAACGTCAGCCTGGCTCAATCAAATATTTACAGTGTCTGTATATTATAGTTATATAGGTGCCAACCACAGCTATATATACCACACGATTATTATCTCGCTTACCTTTTAACACGTTTTCCAAGTACGGTAACCGATCCAATTGGTCGATTGTGACTTGTTCCTGATGCTCGTCCAGCACGCTGTCCAAGTGCTCTCTAAGGTGATTTTGAATATTTTGGTCGCGGGCTAACTCATACAGCGCACCCGTTACTAGAGCTGCCGTCTGTTCTATAGTGCCCGACACGAACTCGAACATATCTAATCTCACTTGTTTGTCGGCAACATCTGCGGGAAAATATAATAGAACATTAGAGTATAATACAACCGTCGTGATTATATTATAATTTTATACTGTGCACAAGAGGTTTGTATATACATTATACAGGGTGATTCGTCAAGCGAACGCTCGTCTCTAAATTGTATACCCCCTCAAATTATTTGTTTTTACGTATTTCAGATGGTTTTTCAGGAACGTTTTTGGCCGTTTTGATTTTCAAAAAATCAGGATTTTTATATAAACGCATAATTAATTATGTAAGGATAAAATAGGCATTATAGTATACTTTCATATGCTCGGTGAATCACCCTATACGCACTATTCACTTTGAACGCTCGATGAGAAATGAGGGGGACAATATTTCCACGTCTTTCAGTAAAACGGTTATTTGGCTCGACGAAAATATATAGGTATTAGGTATCCATTTATGTTTTTTCTTTTTTCAATTGAATATCCATTTGCACATAACGAAAAATTGCTAAATGTACCAAAAACACGGCTTTCCCGAAACTAAGGGACGTGGGAAAACGCACACACCTGGCAATTGGCCAGACTTACTTTGATGCAGTTTTATAGATGAAAGAGTGTGTGGTCTGCTTGAAGAGATCGAGATTATCAAGAATGTCGTTAAAAAAATATATTTTATCCAACTATTAGTCTGAAATATATATATATATATATAATATACATAATATACATTATTATTTTTATTTATATGACACGTGTCTGTATAATAAACTAGCCTTATTTTAGGTTTGTTCATAAAAAAAGTCACCCCAAACCGTGCTTTTATAATAGTACCTACTGTAAGTAATATATTTCTTGTTAAAACATGCCAAAATAGTTCAGTTTGAGTAAAATTCGAAATAAAAATATTCATAATAATTGAAGCTATTGTCGTGACTTACTGTGGTTAATAAACTTAGAACACTGCTTATGAATAACAAAATAAACTTTATTTCCCATACATATCAATCTTATAATGCAGTAACCGATCAAACATTACTCATACATTGCACAAAAACAAAACTACCTACCTAACCTATAGTTGTGATGACCGATGGTATATATGCAGACACGTGAACATACTTGTATTATGATGTGGACTTGAAATATTTATTTTTTAGTCGTAGTAGCTATATCAATACTGGTCACAGAAATATATACAAATATTTTTGAAATGTCATGCTTGAAAATATAGAGACGCACGCGATGGGCGAGGGAGAACCCTTTTTCAATTAAAAAGTATGAATTTAAAATTATTATGAAGTAGGTATCCAATTGACTCAAATATAACAATGGTTTCTGCTGTCAAACAATTGCTAAAAATATAACCTCCTGTATATTTTATTAAAAAAAAAAAAGATTTTAGAGAACTCGTTTAAACTTATTTTTCAGTTTTTATATTATGCTCGATCAAGATGGTATTTTACAAGAACACGTTGTTTTCTTGTAACACTCTTTTTAGTTAATATAAAAATTTGAATATAATAATGAATATAAATTCAAATGTTGCTTGAGATGGTAGGTACACTATATGTTGCTACACAGTTGCGATATATATAGTAAGTCCTTAACAAGCGCACCTACTTAACTTTTTACGAATTCGAACACTTAAATCTGATACGCTACGTAGTGTTATTTTTTTGTTACTATAATATTACAATTATTATTCTACGTCATGAAAAAAAACCTCATTTGTTTGTGCCTGGAAAATATTGCGTTATGACTTAATTTTCATGCTCGACTCATTTACATGTGGCGTGCAGAGGTTTTCTCTCCGCATACAATTAATACCGAAGACATTAGTGGTTTACAGTAAACACTGGTTATAGTTGACTTTGTTTCAGTAAATTGCAATCCTGAACAAATGATTTTGTTTTATTATACAAATAAAAAAAACTATTTATAATTATGTTTTAAAATATGGTAATATGTACCTATATAGTGTTATATGGAACACAAACGGGACACAAACATGCACACATATACATACAAATAGTATACGCGTATACGATGGAGAGCAGACAAGAAACAGGTTCAGTAAAATCGAGCGAAACCAATATTATGTATAAACCACAATGAATGTTCACGAATGAAGACGTGATTCTACGTGAATAAACAAAAACGACATTCGGTGAACTACAGAACAGGGCAACGTCTCAAAACCAGCATAAACTATACAGACCAGCACAACGTCTCCAGTCGTCTAATAATATATTATACATCTGAACTGATACTGTTAAATTGCATACCATCCGTGATATGCTATAAAATAGGTTACCTACTCAATAGTAAACCAATTCAGCCCAATCTCAACAAAGACCAAAATCAACAGCCTTAAGCATTAAACCACGCAATACATTTCTAAGGCGGTCTAGTTGCTTCCTCACATCTCCTACGAATTAGTGTCGAGTTTAAACGAGTTAATAGGCGCATTATGTCACCATCACGATATAAACAAGTATATTTTACACTTAATTTTCAATCACCAAACCATCAAGACCTTATTACTCACACTTTAAGATTCATAGACGCTGTTTGAAATCCCGGTTTCTGCCAACGGCGAAGACCAGTTAACACCAAACTAACCGACAGAAGACGGAATTAATAAAAAAGAAATGGTCACGGCTAAGATCTTCACATCTGCCATTCAATTTCGAAGCCAGAAAAAAAGTCAAAAGGTGTTATTTGGTACATTATCCAAAAGCGGACAGAAGCAATTCAATACAAAATTAATCAGGAATGAGAATGCAGTTATTGAAAATCTATTGTTTTTACGGCGCATAAACAATAAACATAACACTATTCGGTTTTCTATGAACAAAACATAATTTAATAATTGCAATACGTTCGTTGTTTCAATCAGAATCTAGTGCACAGAAATAAATGAGATTTTTAGAGTTGGTTCTATAGTAAAAAAAAATGTGATCAACTTCTTAATACAATAATTTATTTAAGTCTAAAAAATAAAATGACAAATAGCATATTATACTATAGTCTATAATATAAAAACCAGAAAACACCAAAAGTGCTCAACAATTTCGTTAATCTATACTAAGCTCCAGAGAGATTATAATTTTACTAAGAAAGTGTAGAAAAGAATGCCAAAAAATACTTAAATAACAATATTCGTTGATATTGTCTAGACCTCTCTACGACTGTATCACAACTAGTGACAAGTTGTAATATAATATACAAAAAGTTTTCCTCTCCACCGGGAATAGAACACGGGTATTCTTACTGAGATTTCGAAGAATTATTGCCTTTAGGAAAAATTTCTGAAAAACTATTTGGAAATTTTAAGAAAGACTTCTTCTATCCACCATAAAAGTATACGAGCGCGGGAGAGGGTTGATATGACGTTATGAAACTTTTGGCTCTCCATTACTCTCTGTATCTGAAAAAAGCGATTACATATACGAAACAAAACAAAATCGTGATACTGAGGGGTTTGATGGGCCTCTGGGACGGTAATCTTTACATTTTATACCTACTTGCTGCAACTACGATAAGATCGTTGAATTCTAATAGTATTTCGATAAGAGCTCGTGTATACTAATATAGTTAAATATTTACAACACTTGTTTAAAATTTAATTACTCGAGTGTTGTTCTAGTGCACTAACGTTATGCGAGGTATGAGCGTCACTCCTGCAGCTCCACTTATCTAAAATTTAGTATTTACAATATTACTTATTATTAATTATTCCTATAGTAGTGTCGTAGTATATTATACCAAATAGACCTGAACGCGTGCCAAGCAGCGCGGCTTAAAATAATATGTGAGAAAAACGAGGTTTTCCACAATACGCATACATTTCTTTGGGGAAATGACTATTATACTAACCGTTTGCTGATAAAAGAATTACCCTGCATGGCTGCATATCGTTACGAGGGAGAAAATAACTCTCTATTGTTTACTGTTTCTCGTCGTGATAATTGACATCGCATGTAGTTTAAATCGTCGTATGTACCTAAGTGTACGACGTTCATAATATAACGTTATATTGTTTGCACAACCGACGAACCGTTTCTCGTCCATTCGGGTCACGAACCACGATATTATTATGATACCTACCTATACCTATGATATATCCGTGCGTGCGTATCAAACGAGTCGCTGTAGTTCTTACGACATACTAGCATACTAGTATTTACTATAGTATTTTATATTACTATACTAGACAACTAGCTGACGTTCGCTTGAATAATATTATTTTTGTCACATGTATTATAAACGGGTCCACGCGCGGTCTGTGTATTTTAATGATACAAATTATTATTATAATACGAAACGTTTTACAGCAGAAAATAAATAGCAAAAACGTAATTGAGTTATACCAGGTATAAACAATATGGGTTCTAAACATATATGAGCATATTTTATAATATTTTATTCAGGGCGTTAACATTTCATGTTGTATTTCACCACAGTTGTATAATCGTTTGATTTTTCGTCAATCGTATTTCGTAACCATTTCGTCTTAATACCGCCAACGGAGCGCATCTCCACTAATCGATAATCAAGGTCTTGGCCACTTCCCACCCACCACACTGATTTTAAATTCTCGTCAGTGTATAGCACTGCAGCAGCAGCAGCCACGACAGCAGAAGAGATACCGCCTCTGGAAGGCCAAAAAAATTTTTGAATCGCATCCGTATAACAATAAAAATTTATGATATCGACGCGACGACAATATTATTATCATCGGTAACCGTGGCAACGGATTTCGTGATGCGTGAACGACGGATACGACGACACGTGCAGATAGATGTATATAATATAATATTATAATAATAGGTGTCTTCTATAATACACAGCTCTAGCGGTGTGCGCATAATATAATATAGATAGGTACCTAAAGAACCCGGCCGACGGGCATCGACCAGTAGATTCGTCCCGACCCGTACCCGAAAGAGTGAGCAATACATATCTTTTATAATTGAAAAATCGGCGCTGCGATGGCGAATTGTGCGATATCTGTGTCAATACGATATTATTATAA